GAGCACAGTTGTTACCTAGTTTTTTTTGGTGACTAGAGTGGCAAATGTGGTCTCTTTGTACTGTAACTGTGACTTTCTCCACCTTCGGACCATGAAAGGGGGGGTGCTAGGCCTGCTTCCCTGAGTCTTCACTCCACAGCTGTAGACAGCTGACAACTGGTGTTCTCCCAGTGGAGCCAGGACGCATCTCATTTGTCAGCAGCAGCCAGGCTCCCTTCCTGGGTCTCCTCAGGTGCATGGCACCTTCTGTAGACTCCTGATTCGTGTCTACCATACAAAGTGTTTGGCTCATGGATATTAAAAAATATTTGTTATTTGTAGCAATACACATAAATTTCCTATCTTAACCATCTTACGTGTATAGTTGTGGTATTAAGTGCATTCATATAGTTGTGCAACCATTACCGCCATCCATCTCCTGGGTCTCCTCAGGTGCATGGCACCTTCTGTAGACTCCTGATTCGTGTCTACCATACAAAGTGTTTGGCTCATGGATATTAAAAAATATTTGTTATTTGTAGCAATACACATAAATTTCCTATCTTAACCATCTTACGTGTATAGTTGTGGTATTAAGTGCATTCATATAGTTGTGCAACCATTACCGCCATCCATCTCCAGAACTATTCACCTTGGAAACTCTAGACCTATTAAACAGTAACTCCCTATTCTCCTCTCCTCCAGTCCCTGGCAATCACCATTCTACTTTCTGTCTCTATTATTTGGACTGCTCTAGGTGTCTCATGTAAGTGGAATCATAAAGTATTTGCCTTATTCTGACTGGCTTATTTTATTTAGCATATTATCCTTAAGGTTCATGTTGTTGCATGCCAATTTCCTTCCTTTTTAAGGCTAATATTCCATTGCATGTGTATACCATTTTGCTTATCTATTCATCCACTGGTAAGTGGACACGAGTTGCTTTCATGGTTTAGCTACTGTGAATTATGCTGCAACAAATGTGGGTGTACAAATATCTCTTTGAGACGTTGCTTTTTATCCTTTTGGGTATGTATCCAGAAGTGGAATTGCTGGACCACATGGTAAATCTATTTTTAACTTTTTTAGGAATCACCATACTGTTTTCCACAGCAGCTGCACCATTTTACATTCCCACCAATGGTGCACAGGGTTCCAATTTCTCGATATCCTGCCAGCACTTATTTCTTCTTTTTAAAATAGTAGGTATCGCAATGGATGTGAGGTAGTCTCTCACTGTGTTTTGATTTGCATTTCCCTAATGATCAGTGATGCTGAGCATCTTCTCATAGGCTTATTGGCCATTTGTATATCTTCTTTGAAGAATGTTTATTCAAGTCCTTTGCCTATTTTTGAATCAAGTTGTTTGTTTAATTGTTGTTTTCATTCTCTGTATATTCTAATATTGATTCCTTATCATATATGATGTGCAAATATTTTCTTTCCATGGCTTGACTTTTCACTCTGTTGATAGTAACCTTTGATGCAAAAAATTCTTAATTTTCATGAAGTCCAATTTGTCTATTTTTTCTTTTGTTGCCTGTGTCTTTGGTGTCAGATTCAAGAAATCACTGCCAAATCCAATGTTGTGAAGCTTTTGCTCTGTGTTTTCTTCTAAGAGTTTTATAATTATTACTCTTATCTTTAGGTCTGTGGTCTGTTTTGAGCTTATTTTTCTATACGGTGTTTGGTAAGGATCCAACTTCATTCTTTTGCATGGGGATATACAGTTTTCCCAGCAACGTTTTTGAAAGGACTGTCTTTTCCCCCATTAAATGGTCCTGGCACTCTTGTTGAAAATCATTTGACCATATTTGCAAGAGTTTATTGATGGGCTCTGTATTCGGTTTTATTCCAGTGGTTGGTCTGTCTTTATACTAGTAGTCATTTGAACCACTCTCTTACTGAAGACAACTAAAAAAGTTGGACAACTTTTTTTTTCCTTAAAAGCATTAAACTACTAACAAGATAGTAATTATTTATTAGTAATTACTCATCAAAGATCGAAGAGAGGACAGAAGTCTAGAGATGAGCTTAACAGCCAATTAGGTCCAACACACTCATGGGGATGTTTGCCAGTCCTAACAAAGTAGCTGAGAAATGAGCTATGCTTTTGGCAGCCTTGTGGGATTAGTGAGACAAAGGTTTAAAGATAGGCTCTCCAAGGTGAGCAAGATAAGCTGACGTTGGAGGGCTAGTTGTAACTTAGGAATAAGGTGAATGAGAAGAAATTCAGACCTGATACAGACTGCACCTTGACTATGAATCATCTGGGTGGCTCAGAAAATCTCAAGCTCTGAAATTGAATTAAAGTGGTTCTGAATGGTTAGTGCCTCCAGGTATCTGTTAGAAAAAAAATCCTTTTTAGAGGATTTAGGCCTCAAACTATTTCCTTATATGGATCTATCAGACATACTATCAAATATAATATCAAGCACCAAAGAGGAAAAAGCATTATGAGAATCGACAGAAACCACAAATAGAAACAGATCCATATGGACTCTAAATATCAGAGTTATCAGATAGTCTGTAAAGTGACTGTGCTTACTATGTTAAAGGATATAAAAGCTAAACTTAACATTTTCAGTAGGGAACAGGAAACTATGAAAAGTGACATGACAATTTTAAAAAGAATCAAATAGAAATTCTAGAACTAAAAAACACAATAATTGAAATGAAGATAATGGTCCAGTCTGAAAGTAGATTAGACAATGAAAAAACAAAAACAAAAAATAAAAATAAAAAAAAACTAAGAAAAAGAAAAGAAACCTAAACAAAAACAAAAAAAATAGATTAGACATAGTTGAAAGAAAATAAATTAATTACAAGTTGGGCAGAAGAAATAATTAGGTATACAGCACTGATGGACAAAAAAATGGAAAACAGAAGAGAGAAAGAAACACTGACGTTACAGTGAAAAGGCCTGGCGAACAGATAATTACCAACCCAAAAAGAGAGGAGGGAGAAAGGAAGAAGCAATATTTGAAGAGATAATAGTCAAGAATTTTCCAAAATTGATGGAGCGACATCAATTCCTATCCAAGAAGCCCAATGCATACTAAGCAAGATAAAGAAATCCACTTAGACACATAATAGTATTGCAAAAACACTGAAAACAAAACAAAATCTCTTACAAAGAGAGCCAGAGACATAACATTAGCTTCAAAGGATCAATTGTTGTACAGCTGACTTCTCGACAGCAAAAACAGAACCCAGGAAACAGTGGAATCAACTATTTCATGTGAAGAAAGAAAATAACTGCCAATCTACAATTCTATACATAGTAAGAAACTCAACATAAATTCACAAGGATGGGGAGGATAGAACAGTTACAAAGTTCTGAAAGTCAAGGCAGATGGACAAGTTGAAACTGACTTCACAGACTCAAGAGTGGAATTCTAAGCTAGTAATTGAGAAAGTTGAGAACCACTACAATCTACCTGTCAGAATCTTCACTGTCACAGGAACTGACAGTGCCAAGTACTTCCGCAACTGGGTACCAATAAGGCTGTCAAAAATAAAAGGGATTGGTTGAAAGCTATTTAGGAAACAAATCCCTAGGTGCTTCTCTCCTGCCACTCAGTCACTGGGTGACTCTATCCCTCATCCCAGGCAGAAGTGTGGAGGATTATTTTCCAGAGAAGAGAAAATCAAGGGCCTCTGGTCTTGGGGAGGACAAAGCTAGGCAGATGAAGGAAGCTTATGCCTACAGAATTTTGAATATGGATACACTCAGCTCTCCTCCATTCAGCTCCTAGACCCAGCTAGGCCTTTACCCTCCAAGCAGGAGGTTAAACGACTCTCTTCTGGAGCATTTGGCCTAAGAGAACAGGGGCTCTTTAACAAAAGACGGAACTGACTATTCTACAGTGAAGCTCCAAGTCAACAAGTCCCATGGACATGCTCACAACTTCCCATTAGCTTATCTGTCTCCCATTCTTAAACATAAGAAGAATTAAACATTAAAGGAAAACCTCATACATGAGAGACCAGAACAGGAAAAATAAATCAAACCGGAGAAAACAGAGATTAGCAGCAAAAAACCCCCCAAAACCAGTAATAAAAAATTATAATACTCTCAAAATGGCATTACACCCATGAAACAAGATTGGGATGTGTGCAGATTACGTTTCTATACACTCTAAGCTCCATCTGCACCCTTTTGAGTTCTCAGTAACGCAAAGGGGTTAGAAGGCAGCCAGTTACGTTCCCAGACTCCCTTGCAGCTGCTCTGGTTACGTTCTGCCAGTGGAAAATGCCAGTGGGGTCTGGAAGGTGGGCGGAAAACGGAAATGTCTGTCTTTATGGCTTGGTAGCGACTTTGGCAGCACCAGCAGCAGTAGATGAAAGGGCTTCCTTGGTGCTGGTGCTGGTTTCAGCAGCACTAGTCGCAGTGGGGGGTCCTCTCTTGAGTTTCTGCTCAGTAACGAGTGCGGCTCTAACGCAGCGCTGGCAGGGGCGGTGCTTCCGGAGCGGCAGTGAGCGTGGGCTTCCGGCACTGGCAGCCTCCTGATCCTTGGGTAGCATCCTCTCTTCCCCTTCGTTCTTCCAGCCATCTCGACATTATTGTAATCAAATCCCTTCCATTAAATTTCCTTTGCTTGAAATATCTAGATTTTTTTTTTTAAGTAAACATTGACCGATTGGGATACTATATAAAAAAAGAAACGTTCAAAAAATAAGAGAATTCTTAGATATTAAAAATGTGAAAGCAGAAATAAGAATGGAAAGGTTAGAAGATGGTGATGGAATCACCCAGAAAGTAGAGAAAAACAAAAACTCCAATAATACAAGTGCTCAAAATTTACAGTGACTTGTAACAATATTATGTAAACCGTCATGATGTGAAATACGTGTTCTCATGCCATTGTATGAATATCATGAGGTGCTAAGAGCACACATCTCCTGCCGGACATTTGAATGTGACACGTGTACATATGCTGTAGTGGTGTCCTGGTTAGTACAATTTTAAGAGAGCAGAGAAGTGTCAATTTAAAGAAAACCAGAGGAAGACCATAATCTTCTAATTAATAACACTGAAAGGAACTTTATATTTATAGGTAGATAAGCTTTTATCTGAATGTCTACAAAAATATGAGTTGAGGTCACATAAGGTTTTTCCAAAGGATTAAAATGTATTAAACAATAGAATCTGGTCCTTCCCTTTAGTTTGTCTCTGAATTCAGTTGATTGACATCATTATTAGTAGTCCACTGGTGCTAATCATTTTTGCCACACACAAAATCTGAAAATCTTCAAGTGGCACGTCCTGCTTGTCTGGAAATCTCCTAAAGTGCTTTCAGTTACAACAGAAGGGCAAGGTTTTTATCTGCTCGTGCTCTACTCCAGTGGAGGCAAAAACACGTTCCTCCATTCTCTTGTTTAAGTTTTAGCTGTTTGCAAACAGTATACAAATGAAGACTTAATGTTAACACAAAATATACATGTATGCTCTAACAGTAACTGCTTTACAGTTTTTTCGCTAAAGAATTACTTTTATTTTTATTATCTGTCCATAAAGAAGTTATAAGAAATATCCATAAAAACATTGAAAATGCACTTTAACATCTTGGAATGAAAAATTCTAAAGTATAAACTGTGATATATCTGTGATTTGCAAATAATAAAATTCTACAAGTTAGAATTTCTGAATGATTTTGATAGAAATTTACTAGGAAAAACAAGAACATCAAACCTCAAAGATTTTTAACTTTAACCCCAACTGAGCTTTTGAAAAGCTATAATTTGTTGACAGGCACATTCCACATAAACACTTGCTGCTGCCGCTATGATAAGATTAATCCGAAGGGCAAAGATTTATATGCTAGATGTGTCAGGTTCTTCCATGCAACTTACTAAAGTGGTCTTTTTTTTTTTTCCCTTATATTTTAAATAGAAGTAAAAATACATGTGGTAAAAAATTTAAATGGTACAAAAAGATCTTAAATTATTAACAAATATCCTTTTCTGCCATAACACAGCAAATCTGATGTCTTCAAAATCACTAAGCAGTCATATAAATAATTTACAAACTGAAGTCAACCTTGGAGTCTATCTGAAAACAGTTCTCAGGCCTCTGGAACCATGTTGATTTTCTTATATGTTACGGCTGTCGTAGAGGAAGTCATGCAGTCTGCTCCTTCTTAAAAGAACCAATTACAAAAGCAACATGCACACTCCGCTCATGCACAGCTGGTCCAGGCAGCACCTCGGACTCCATGGATCTGGTCCCAGCTCTGGACAGAGTCCCTGGTGTCGTCCCTGAAATTAAGGAATAATATTTACTAACAAGGCATTTTCAAAAGTAAGAAAACTTTCTCTTAATCAAAATGAAGTTGTCTGGTCCTTGTAAAATGGACAGGCTTTTAACTCTGACAGAGATTTGGGTCGTCTGGTCATTACTTAATAGAAAAATATCTAACATTGTACAAAAGGGCATGAGCCATAGAGTCCCAAATATTCAAGATAAAAACAGGTCAAACCTTTCTCGAGAACTAAGGGAAAGCAAGATGACAAGGAACTAAGGATGGAGAAGGTAAATTCCTTCAGAGAAACTCCCACTCACCCAGCGATGAGAAGCTGGGTGCTCTCTCCGCTCCACCCCCGACCCCCACTCTGGAGAGCAGGAAAGGCTTACAAGGACAGGTGGCGGCTCAGCCGAGCCCTTCCTGAATGCCTCGGATCCTCCTGGCCAGCTGCACATCCTTCGGGAAGAGAGTAACACGGCCGGCATGTAGGGAGAGGAGATAGGCATCCTCAAAGAGATGAATTAGAAATGCTTCTGCCGCCTGGGGACAGAAAGAGGAGTAGAAAAGACTCACACAGGCGAGGGGGCACTGGCTGCTTTTCCCATGGGGACCTGCTAAACTTAGTCCCTGAGGGCTCAAATGACTATAGAAAAGACTCTTCACCGAATGAGACTAAACTGCCTGGGAATTCTGCTCTCACCAAACGAGATCCAGTCTCCAAACCCCGGGTGTTCTTGTGGCTCTTTTCAAGGAGGCAAGATTCAGCAGGTGACAATCACAGCCAGCCCTGCAGAATCCCAGAACACCTTTCTCCCATATTCACCCCTCACCCAACTGTATCTTGGCCCCCTTCTTACCTCTTGTAGGGCCAACAGGGCCTGGGCTTGCCAATTGAAGTCCACACCACGAGTGAATTTAACACATATTTCTCTTGCCTGTGAAGGAATAGAGATGGGGAGCAAGGGAGAAGGGGTATGGGGAGGAGGAGGAGTAGAGAAGAGAGACTCAAGAGACGTTAGACTCTCTCCATGAATCTCCATGAACCTTCATTTCCATTATACCTTCCTGACCTTAATCTTAGGCCCTGAATAACAGGAAGCGTTAACTCCTGGGAGCTTAGCAATTGGCATGTGTCTTACTGGTGGTGGGGAGAGCAGGAGAGATCTCCCAGGGGAGGACAGGGATGAAAGGGTGGATGGATGAGAGGGTTCCTATTTACATAGTCAAAGAACACAGTTTCAAAGGTGATGGGGGTAGAAATTAATTCCATAAAGAATTAGAAGGTACCCTTGGCAGGTTCATATTTTCAGAAGACAAAGAGTCCCCTACCAGGTTAGAGAAGAGGTCCCTTGGCCATCTGGCAAGACATTAAAGGGCCCCTAATACCTGGGAAGGGAAATTTAAAGAAAGGAGGCAGCATGGGGGTTGGCGGAAAGCTCCCTAGAGCTCACCAGGCGGCCGAAGGGGTTCTTCCTTAACAATAAGTGTGTGCTCTTCTGAAGATTTCGGATCTCCCTCAGAACCAGGTGTCTCCGGCGACCAGATCGACGGGAGGGAGTGCCTGAGCAAAAGAGTTGGGTCATAAAGATGAGGTGCAATGACAAATAGGTGGTCCCTTGCAGCTTGGCTGTCAGACCATGAAATTGCTAGACTGTAATACAAGAAAACAGTGTCCAGAAGACTGGTGACATTTAGGAGAAAGAGGGGTCCCCCCAGGCAAGCTACTAGCAGCTGCCTCCCTCCTCACCACCAGTCTGCAATCCAGTCATGGAGGCTCCTTTAATAAACAGACATAGCAGTCACAAAACCCAACTAAAGGCCACCAAACAACTTAAGAAAGTCAACACCATGAAAGGAAAGAACCAGACTCAACAAACGAAATAACCAATACCACCCCCGCCCTTTTTCTTTAGATCAGAAAGAGCAGAGCACATTTGCAGAATGCTACTGAAAAGAGTTAATTCGAAGTGCAGGTTTACAGCATAACAGAAAGCTCCTAGGAGGGTGAAAGAATATGACCCAGAAGGAGGAGGAGTGGCTTCTGACAGGCAGGGGACACCTAGGTTCTCTGTTGTAAGATGATAAGGGGAATCCGGTCTGGAGGCTTCTATTTTCTCAGAGAAGCATGAAGCAAGGCCATCATCAGCTAAGAGTGAGTTGGGGGACTGGAGTTGTAGGAATTTGGAGAGGGTGAAACAGGCATTGAATAGTCATTGGGAGAACAGAAAAGCAGGATGCTGGACAAGTGCAGCAGGACCGCCAGGCAGTGTCAGTGGCCACTGGAGATTTAATTTAACCAGGAATAGAGGGATGCTTCCACATCGAAAAGCGATTGCAAATATTGCACTTAACAATATTCCTGTTAAGATTACAAATAAAACAAAAATGGCCAAAACACTGCTTTTATTTCAGTACTAGTCTCAGGGCCTCACTAATACAATAAGAAATAAAATGTATAAAAATGAAAAAGGAAGACACAAAGTCTTTATTTGCAGACAGTACAATAGCTTACTTAAAATTTCAATTACGCAACTAAGACTATTAAGGATTAACAAGAGAATTCAGCAAGTTGGTTGGCTGCAAAGGTTATTTATGTTTAAGAAAGAAAAAAAAATCTCATTCACAAGAGCAACAACTGCAAATAACCCATAATATACTTTTCCACCCTGCTCTTTGCTATGTAGCAGAAGACAAGTAAAGCAGTTGTTGCCACAATGTACAGTTGGTGCATCTCTCATCCACCGGACCACAAACAGAAACTGAGGACCACAGCCCAGTCTTCCTTCTGGGTACACGTTTCCAGAAGAGAACGGGTGAGACACTGCTTGAATTAAGAGCACTGGTTAAGCTCCAACACAGCCACGCCCGGAAGAAAAAACAGAACAAACCTGAAAGGGCACCTTCTAAAAGTAGAAGTTATTCGAAATCGTCACAAAAAGCAGCCAATAATTTTGCAAGTTAAAAAACCATAAACGCCGACTTTTAGAAATCTTGTGTCTGCCGGAACAAACTGTGTGACCTTGTTCAAGTTACCTGGACTGTCTGTGTCTCAGTTTTCTCATCTGTAAAATGGGCACAATATAAACCTGAGCTAATTCAAGTAAAGTGTTTAACACAATGCCTAGTTAGGGGGTAAGCACTGAATAAATGCTAGTAACATCAAGAAGAAGACTTAGTATTAGGAGCCAGGTTGTCTGACCCAGTCGACCTTTTCGGAACTGCCTTTTCCAGTCCCTCGCGGGGCTGGGAACTTGGGCCCTTTCCCGAGCAGATGCTGGAAAGCCCGCGGACGCACCAGGAGCCTGGAGATCGGGATCGATCCCAGACTCAGCAAGCGAGCCTCGGTTTTCTCGTCTGTGAAGTGGGCACGCGGACCCGGCAGTGCCTAGCTCACAGACAGGCTTCAGGCGGGTCGTCTCGGAGGGAAAGGGGACATGGCTGGTTACCTGGGGCGCCACGCCGGCGGGGGCCGGGGGCCGGGCTCGCGGGTCGCCTCCTCGGGGCACCGGACTTGCGGCTCCGGCGGGGCGGGTCCATGGCGGGCGCGGAGGGTCTCGGCCCCGCGGTGCCTTGTCCGCCTTCAGGGTTGGAGGGGTAAAGGCTGTCGTCCCGGGAAGGCTCAGGAGCGTCCCCGCCGCGTGCGCCTCCGGCACCCCCTTGAGTTCAAAAGGCCCGCTTAGCGGATTCACTGCCGGCGTTTTTTAAAACCCGGATCCTGCGACTCCCAGTGGCTGCCTCTGGAGCAGAGCGACCGCGGGGAAGACCAATGAGAGCACAGACCGAAAGGCCGACGGCGGCGGTGATAGGAGGACGATGCGGGGCCATGGCAGATCGACGGTGAAAACCAACCAATGGACACTTGGAGAAGTAAAAAGAGGCGGGAATTTTCCCCGCCCTCTCCTTGTTTGGGGGAGGAGTTCGATCGGAGCCATGTCCTCTGGTGCCCTCTAGTGGAAGTAGAAAAGCTCGACTCTGGAGATGTAGATGTAGGTGCGTTTGTAGAATGTGTTTCTCTAGACAAATCACTTCGCTCAAAGATTTTATGTTTTGCTCTATCAACCCTGAGGTGGCTTTTAAAGAAGAGGAGATAGACCCACAGAAAATGTGATAACCCCACGTCGTGCCTGTGACCCTTCTGGGAACACCCCACGAGTATGACTCAGAAGCCGGTTTAACTTTATTTATGAATGGTACTGATTATTAGGGTCGTGGGACGGCCAGAATAGAGGCTCTGTCAATGTGGTCAGGCAGGGCAGGCCTCAGCTCTATTCTTGGGTCACATTCTCCAGCACTGAAATAGAATAGTCCCAGGGAAATGACCCCTACTCTTCCTGTTGGGCTAATCCTCATTCGGGTCAAATGTAGTTAGAACAAAGGGATTTTATTTTCTACACTTTGCTTTTTTGCATTTTCTAAATGTTGTACAGTTAACATATACTATAATCATGAAAAATGTTGTCACAAAATTAGTGATTTCACGGAACCCTTGTTCACTGCTGGTGGGAATGTAAAAGGGTGCAACCGCAGTGGAAAACAGTATGGCGACTGGTCAGAAAATTAAACATAGAATTAGCATATGACCCAGTAATTCCTCTTCTGGGTATACATTCAGAAGAATTAAAAGCAAGGACTTAAGCACATATTTGTACACTAATACTCATAGCAGTGTTATTCACAATAGCCAAAAAATGTCCAAGTGAAGGAATAGATAAACCAATTGTGGTAAATGCATATAATGAATATTATCAGCCTTAACAAGAAAGTAAGTTCTGACACGTTACAATATGGATGAACCTTAAGGCATTACGTTAAATGAAATAAACCAGGCAAAAAGGACAGATATTATGATTCCACTTATATGAGGTGCCTAGAGCAATCAAGCTCATAGAGACGGAAAGTAGGATGGTGGGTCCCAGGGGTTGAGGGGAGAGGGGATGGGGCATTAATGCATAATGGGTATGGAGTTTCAGTTTGGGACGATGAAAAAGTTCTGGAGGTGAATGGTGATGGTTGCACAACAATGTGAACATATTAATGCCACTGAATACACTTAATGATCAAAATGGTAAGTTTTATGTTGCGTATATTTTACCACAAGAAAGGAAAGGAGGGAAGAAGGGAGGAAAGAAGGAAAAGGAATATTTGACTACACTGAAGTGTAGTCAAATCACAGAAAGGTGATTGGTTTTCAGTAATCCAGGTAAACACAAAGGCAAGTCCAGCTACATCATTCCTCAACACCCATTAATCAGACAAAGCAAATCTTTACTCATTAATTCTGCGTTAGACATATAATTCCTACTTTGCTCTATTGAATTAGAAAACAAGGTAGAAAATAGAGAGGATTTTTTTTTTAGATTCCACATAGGAGTGAGATCATACTGTATTTGTCTTTCTCTGATTTCACTTAGCATAATGGCCTTACACAATATAAGATCTTGCAGTCAGAGCTCTAAAAGGTCAGTCCTGCTTCTCGAATGGCTCTTGCATTTATTCTTGCCACTGTTTCCCTTGTTCAAAGGTGGGCTTACTGGCCTTCAGTACTTCCTAATGCCAATCAAACCTAATAACTAGGTTATTTTCCCAAACAGCAATTTGGATCATGTCCCTCCCTTGCCTAAAACTCTCCAGGGCACCCTACCATCTACAGAGAGTCTAACACCTCGGCAAAGCCTAAAAGGTACAGCACTATCTGGCCTGCACCTCTCTGGCCACTTCCTATGTTGCATGCTTATTCCCAGGCTTATCAGTCTACTTACCTGCAGTTCTCGAATATATCACCTTGTGACACACACATTTCTGTTTTTACAAGCTGTTTCTTCCTCCTGCTTCTTTCTCTTTCTCTCCTTCCATACATCAAGCCTAGAAGACTTCTGTCTACCTTTCGATACCCAGCTCAAGTGGAGCTCTGAGTCTCAGGCAGTTAGCTGATCTCTCCTTTACCACATAGGCCTCTTACTGCACAGCACGCTGTGCTGGAATTCTTTCTAATTTTATTTTATTAGTTTCAAGTACACAGTACATTGGTTAGACATTTATATAGTTTATAAAACAATCCCCCTAATTGCTCTTTCTCTCCTCTGGCTCTACACCTGGCCAATACATTAATGCTGACTGCGTTCCCTATGCTGTGCTCCCCATCCCCGTGACCATCTATCAACCACTAATTTGTACTTCTTTAACTCTTCACCCCATTCTCCCAGTCCCCCAACACCCCTCCCCTCTGTCACCAAATTGTCCTCTATATTTGTGAGTCTGTTTTTGATTTGGAATTCTTTATTTACACATTTGTCTTTCCTGTTTCCTTGGATGGATCCATGGTCCTTGGAGCACATCCATTCTCAGTAAATTTTGTTGAATTCTGGGTTAGAAATCCTTTATTGAATTTTTTTTTTTGATAAGAGTTTTAAATGAAGAAAGCCAATTTATAAACTTTCATGACTACATAGGGGCCCCCTGCTGACCTTGGGTTTTAAAAGGATGTTGTCAACAAAAGGCCAGAGGGGCTCTAAACCAAGGCCAAGATGAAAGAATGATATTGATCGATGAGCGGGCCAAGGAGGTGAACACATTCAGGGCTGCTGAGAACCTCTCCTTTTTATAGGTAGCCAAGTTCTTGAGAGGTAACATGACTTGTCCAAGGTCGCCCAGTCAAAGTGGAGGACATAGCTCTCTGATTCCTGATTCTGCATCTTTCCCCTACACCATGTGACCCTTTGCTCCAGCCCTCTGCCATTCTCATTAGGGGGCAAGAGCTCTGACCTCTTGGAGGGCTGTTTGCTTGTTAAACAACACTGAGACCTTTGGACAAGGTGAAGGCAAACAGAACCACTTGGCATGGTCTTCAGTCTCTGCCTTGTAGGCAGATTCCTGGTGAGAGGAGTTTGAGGCCTGGGACTGAAGAAAGCCCCAGCTGCAGCTCCCCCAGGGACACTCTGTGAGGGGCAGGGACCCATTAACTCACTACAATACAGATGCTTTAATTTACATTGTATTTGAAGAGATGTTTACAGAGGTCTGTTATCAGGCAATTCTGATTTAGGGGTTTGGGGCCTCCATGCCACACCTCCATCATTCAGGCCTCCTTACTCCATTCAGAACAGTAGGCCACAGCTAGATGGTCACTACAGCCCTCCGGACTCAGTGGGAGAGTGGAGGTCCTTAGCCTCCCATTCACATGACCAGCACGACACGGCAAAGCCTCTCACACTCAGCCTTCAAAACACTTGTGACAATAGGATACAGTGAACACATCTCTAGGGGCTGGGAGGGTATATACCATCAGCATAAAATCTTCCTGAGGCATGTTTTATCCCGCAATTGATGTGAATTTTACATTTTACTTCATGATGGTATATTTTAATAAAATATTTCCTCTCCTGTGAGCAGAGCCGATACTCCGAGCTGTGCCCAGCCGTGACTTCAGTGCCCCTGACAGACCCCCCTAGTGGACGGCGCAGCCTTACACAGACCCCTCTGTGCGTCGGCATTCACAGGCACCTGCAATTTATTATCTTATGTAACTTTCACGCTCATCCTGCCAGATGGAGACTGGCTTTCTCATTTTAAAAATGTGAGGACCCAAAGCTCCAGGAGGTAAAGCGATTTGCCTGAGTTGGTGGCAGGCTCGACAGGGCGTTCCCCTCCCCATGCTCTGCCACCCCTCACCACTGAAGTCCCATTATAATTCTCCCCAAGCCTTCAACGTTAAAATCAACAGTCTTCCATGGCAGCACTTGAATAAAAGCCAAGTGCTTCCTTGACGCCCTCTTAGGCAGTTTTCACAGCCGAGTGCACGGGTTGGGCAGCGGTCCCGGATTCCTGGCACGGCTCCCGGCTGCGTTCTGTGGCAAAAGCAGGTGGGCAAGGAATGAGAACGAGCAGCTCTGGCTTTGCTTGTCACTGGTGGTGTGACCTTGGGAAGTTCCACCCTCTCTCTGTGTTTGTCTCTTCACCTGAACAACACAGGGTGGACTGGGTGATTCTTCGGTACATTAGAGCTTTCCATCCAACATTCTAGTCGTTACACCCAGGAACGTCCAGCCCTGGAGCTCCTTCCCTCATTAAGAAAAGTCCACACTGCCAATTTCCCTTTTCTTTTCTTTTTTAAATAATGCCTAAAACAACATTCTAAGGCCCCAGTTTTTTTGGAAAGGCAGCTATAGTCCAGACCACCCTCATTCTCCATTTCCTGCTTCCTGTGATATACATCATCGCCCAGAGACATGCAGGGGCCCCTGGGATTCTGAGCTGGTGAGATGGAAAGACCCTCTTTTCCCAACAAACTTTAATAACCTGTTGGATTCCCACACAGCCCTAGGGTTTTGCTTGTCAAAGATCCCTTCCCCCAGAATCTATTTTAAGGAAGGCATTTGGTGTTTTGTTTTATGATTGAGCTGCCCAGGAAAATGGTCTGAGGCTCCAGAAACTGCCGAGTGAAAAATGTTGGAATGAGGGGCTGCTCAGCATCTTGAGGTCCCTGATGCTAGTCTTCTCCCTTCAGGCTAGGGTTCCCAGGAAGACACGAGCACATGATACTTCTCTCTTGGCCACAGGAAACTCCCCCGAGAGACGCCAGAGAGACCCATATGGGGCCACAGATTTGAAAACAGGCAAACCTTGCTTGGAAGACTGACACCATGAGGAAGTCACTTAACCTTCCCTGGGCTGTGGTTTTCTCATCTGCACTGACCTGTGTGCAGGCTGTTTTGCAAGAGAATGAAAATTATGCACTTAATATAATGTTTGGGATACCAAAATTACTCTTAATGGTAGAATCCTGGTCAATCCATCGCCCTGGAGAGTGCTCTACGGAGTCAGGTTGCTGGGGTGGAGCTGAGTTCCAGCTGTGCTCTAGATTCCAGCCTGTGGCAGGATCACGTGGCTTGCATGACCAGAGCCTATGGCAGGACATTCCTTTTGCCAAATAATTTACCATTTTGTATCTCAGTTTCTTCATCTTTAAAATGGAAGGTGCAGAGTTCATAAAAGCTGCTATGGAGGGCTGCCTGTAATTCCCCTGTAATCTCTCCCAGGAAGGGAGGCCCTGAGGGTGTGTGAGCAAGGACACAGGACACCAAAACAGGCCTGGGGAGGAGACACTGTGGGCAGAGGGGAATTTCCAATAAACGGTTATTACTCCTTTCCCAGGATGACGGGCCCACAGAATGGGCCCAGCTGGGGTTGGAAGGCCCTGAAGCCACAGCCTTGACACCTTCTGCTTTACAGAGCAGGACACCAAGGCCCAGAGTGACTAGGTAATGGGCTGGGGAGCATACAGTGAGTTTGCGAAACCCAGGGCTCCAAACTAGACTAGAGAACGTCTTACGAGTTTTTAAAAATACAATACTTAGTTCTGGCTTGAATTTGCTCCCTCACCTCTTTTCTTTGGAGAACCAATTTTAGTTTTCGATTTAGGAGGAAATCCCACGGTTGTTAGCTCCTGCATTTCCATTTCACGATTTAGCTCTAGTGTTGCCGGAGGGGTTTGGGGTTGGGGGGAGCCTGTTGGGGCTGGTCACTGTACCCATGCCTATAGGGGCTGGGTAACACCTTTTTGCAGAGGGTGGTGACAAAAGGGGACCTGGGTGTCCTGTCAAATTCTGTGGCAGCAGCTGTCCTGGGGTCTGTGGGGAGGGGCAGGGGGAGGCCTTGGGGACAGGGCACTTGAGGCTCACCAGCCTGTGTGGCCTCAGCCTCCAGGTGAACAAGGTGCATCCAGGGGGCAGCAGAGTCCCTGCAGGAGACTCAGCTGGCATCGTTGATGGCAGTCCGAGAGGCACCCAGCAGTCTCTCATGTTCTCCCTCCTCCGCCGGGGGCCGGCCCCGGGACAGGCGGGTCAGCAGCGGGCGGTGCAGCCCATTGTAGAGGGCAGTGCCTGTCAGGAGGATGAAGAAGCCGAGGATCTGCAGCGCGTGGAAGGCCTCCCAGCCCAGTGCCAGGCTCAGTGCCCAGATGACAATGGTCCGCAGGCTGTCCAGCACCATGCGGGTGGTGGCGCTCAGCTCCTTGGTGACGCTGATGCCCGCGAAGTTGAAGAAGGCAATGCTGCTGATGTTGCCCAGCAGCGCCAGGGCGATGAGCGGCTTCTGGCCCACCTGGCAGAAGGCATCCAGTGCATCCTCCAGCGTCCCACGAGGGTTTCCACTGAAGGAGCTGGCAGGGATGTAGTACATGGGCACCAGCAGCAGGGAGAGGATCACAAAGCCAAAGAGGCCTGCAGGAGAGGAGGAAACACGTGGCACTCTCCGCTAGACCCTCAGACTCCCGGTACCTCCCGCCCAGCAAGGCCTCCCATACCTCCCGCCACGCCTTCTTGCAGCCCTCACACCAAGGCCTTCCTTTCAGGACCTGGAGCTCTCCCTCTCACTAGGATTTCTCAGCAGCCAAACTGAATGATCTCTAGCTGCCCCTTTTCCATGTTAATCTGTGTTTTTCAACTACACCAAGAGTAAGAAATACTTTTTATATTGTGACCAATATATGTGTGCACAGGCACATACACATACACCCACTTCCACAAAACAATAGCTACCCTTACAATGTACAGTGCTCTTTGACACTTTTAAACTCTATTCATTTAAAAACGAATTGCTGGCTATAATCACTATAGTGCTCACAAGTGTGGAAAAACATAGCTCTCTAATTCAGTGTCACTGGTCTGTGACAAGGAGCTGGAACAGAATGTAAATCAATGCACTGCTTCATTCAGAAAGTCTTGCTAGAAAAAAAAATGAGCAGAAACAAACACTACTCTTAATGACATCATTGATGCAGTCGATTAACATTCTGCCTAAGCCCTGAGCTCACTGTGGACCAGGCACAAACAGCTCCCTGACTGGTCCACAGGCCACACTTTGGTGGCGCTGCTCTAAACCACCCTGCTAGTTTCATATTTTTAAAGCATAATTTTGAGTTACTTCTCTGCTCAAAAACTGTTGGTGGTTCCTCCCTGCCTGTCATTTAAAGTCTAAATCCCCTTGCCTGATGTTTAAGGTTCTCCATGACGTGACCTTGACCTACTCAATTCCTGATTTCTCCAACATTAAACAAGTATCTCAAACTATTCTGCACTGGTCTCCAAACTCACATCCAGTACCCCATGCCTTTGCTACGTCTGGAGTCCCCTCTTTCCCACTCTGCCCATTGAAGTCATAGCTCGAATGCCACCTATTCTGCCTCCAGACACTCATATATGCTTGGCAGGTGAAACATCACTTTAGCACAAGTGGTCTGAGCTAAATTGCACTGCCTGGTCCTTTCTGCTGGTCAGCTCCTCTAGAGTGAGGCTCACCTCTCATTCATCTTCATCCTCATCTTCCCTGACCTTCTGGCCAGGTGCATGCATGGCAGATGTCAGAATATTTGGCAACACATGCGGTGAGGGAGGAAGAAATGGGGGGTAGGAGGTTCACCCCCTCCCAGTGGTCCCTGGCACCTGGCCCTGCACTCCTACGTGTGCATTCACTTCACGTGCTACCCTCCAGGGTGCTCCCGGACCAGCGCCCTCCTCCCAGCCACCGTGCTCACACACCCTCAGTGCCGACGGCCCGCAGTGGGTGCACATTGTGCTTGTAGACGAACTTCTCCTCTAGCACCATCTGGATGGAGACAATGATCTGGGCCATGATGATCAACAGGTCCCCTGCGGGAAAGGATCAACAGGGCCCAGGGTGAGGGAGGGAGGAAGACGGCAAGGCCACGGGGCTGCTGGCAGGGTGGCGGGCCCAAGGATAAGGGAGAGGGTTTCATGGGGACATAACAGGCACAGTCCGATTTCTGCAGTTACCATACAGTTCACGAGGCACAGTCATGACCATCCTGTGCCTGATCTATTGGCTCCCAGTGGTGGGGCCGGCTAGCAACCCTCTCGGCTGAGGCCACAGAAGGTCCAGAGGCCTGTGCAATGGGGTAAGCGGTCTTTTGAGAAGCATAGGCTCTGAGATAGACATTTCTGATTTACTCCTGCCTCTGAGTGACCAGGGTAGTCACTTCTTTGTAAAATGGGCTACACTGCTTCCTTTCTGGGATTGTAAGGATTACTGTCATGACAAACACACAGTATTCAGCACCAGGCTGGGCACTTGGTAAGTGCTCAATAAATATGTTCGTTCCTCTCCTCTCCCAAATCCAGCAGTTTGTGTTTGTATATGATATCACAGCTCAAGCCCTCTGCCTCCTCTGATCTCCTGCTCCTTACCTACTCCTCTCTCGAGCTGCTTAGGCCTCTGGCCTTCCCTATACTCTATCTGACACCTCAAGAGCAGGTGCATGTCCACAGCAGCTGGTCCCCACATGCCCTCATCCAGGGCTTGGCATATAGCTGAGCTTGTAAAAGTTTGTTGAATGACTCTGTGATGGTCTCCTAGAGAGGACAGGACAGGATAGAAGGGCAGCCCCTGGATCCCCAACCCCGGCCGCACCTGTGATCACTTCACTGAGTTTGTGCTGATCATCGTGCTTGCTCAGGAGGTCGGCCAGGCCTACGACCACCAGCCCCGCGATGGTTGCCAGGATGCCCAGCCACTGGCTCAGCGCCAGCCTCCGTCCCAGGAAGGCCACCGAGAACAGGCCTGTGAATATGATCACTGCTCCCCGCAGCATCTGGAAGCTGGAGGCGCTAGTCATGTTCAGGGCTAGGAGAGGACCGACATATGATGTTAGCTCCCGAGGACCAAGGCTGTCAGTTCACTGAGGTGTCCTCAGGGCTGAAGATGTACCTCCCACATAGTATGTGCTCAGTGAATCTTAGGTGAGTGTGTGTGCATGAGTCTGTGGGAGAGCAGCAGGGATGGGGTGAAGATGAGCTGGGGGTAGGAGTGGTTGTTTCACCAGTGGCCCCCTCAGGTCATGGGCTTCACTGAGCCCATCTCAGCCTGGCCTGGCTGCTTACCCACATACATGATGCTGGTTCCGGTCATGTCGCAGAGGGCTGGAGGCAGGAAAAGAAGGGGGTTGAAAGGCTGCTGGGGATCCATGCTGGAGTCTGGGTGCCTTGCAGCTCTGCACCGGAGTAGGTAGAAGGCAGCCAGGCAGGAGAACTCCCCCAGGAACATGCCCACTGCCTGCAAGGACAGAACCCTAGGAGTTTAGAGCTAGAAAAAGGGCTGCCTTTAACAATTTTTAACACAACCTTTCTTCAGACAAGAGCTTACCTATAACCCCAACATATAAAGCAGGCAAAAGCAGGGCTGCTGTGTGTAGGAGGCCAGAGACTGTCTCCTGGGTCTACCTCCAAGCCCCTTGAACATCTTGAGGCAAACCCTAAGACCATGGTAGAGCCCAGTGTGAAGACGACCGATCCAGGCCAACCCCAGTCAAGCTCCAGATGGAGAAGCTGAGGCTCAGAGTGGCTCAGAAACTTTTTTTATTTTATTTTATTTTATTCTTATTTTATTTTATTTATTTTTTAGGCAAGGCAACACTTGATTGACCTCACAGATTGCAAGGACCTTGTCAGTTTACAATCCCTTATCTTTTTATTTTTTACGCCTACAGCACCTGGTCTTCCTATAAAGTCACAGAGCCAATCTACGGCCATGCTACCCTGAACAAGCCTGATCCCGTCTGATCTCGGAAGCTAAGCAGGGTTGGGCCTGGTTAGTACTTGGATGGGAGACCACCTAGGAAGACCAGGTGCTGTAGGTGTAAAAAATAAAAATAATAAAAAAATAAGGGATTGTAAGCCGACAAGGTCCTTGCAATCTGTGAAGTCAACCAAGGGTTGCCTTGCCTAAAAAAATTAAAATAAAATAAAATAAATAAAGTCACAGAGCCAGCTGCTGGCAGAGCTGGGGCTGAAATTTGACTCTTGTACTTTCCAGTTGAGTAGTAAAGTGCCTCCTATTTATGGCGTCTGCCCTAGCCCAGTGGGATCTGGATTCCTGGTGGATGGAAAGCAGGTTTTGCTATGAGGGTTATTTTCCAAATGTGTCCACACTTGGAAGTAGTGATGGCTGGCCTCACAGTGTCCAGGGCATGACAGCTCACCAGGACTTAATTGGGCCTCCCACAGAGGACTGTGCCCTCTGCTCCCTCTTCTGGGAGCAGGGTGGACGCCACCCTTAGGTCAGGAAACAGCAGGGCCTCACGGGGCACCTGGCCTGATGCCTGGGAGATGGGAGGGGGAGGGACAGGGCAGATACCTGAAGGAAGGGATGCTGGAAGCTGTGCTCCTTGCTCCCTCCGCAGCCCTGGGCCACGAAGTTGTCTGCCCACCTGCAGCAGAGAGAGAAAAAGTCAAACCCCGTAGTGCAGTGGGCTCTCCCAGCCTGGTCCTGGTGCCTGTGGACAAGCTCGCTCCTCTCAATGGCAAGAGGCCGTACTTAGGGGACTCAGCCCAGAGTAGGGCTCCTTCCCAAAGGGGCCAAGTTCCTTGGCAAGGAGTTCTCAATCCTGGATTGTGGATAAATGTGGGAACCTGGGAACCTTTAGCTGAAATTTCATGAATCTCTAGCTGAAATTTAGCATATCCTCAAATTATGAATATGGTATCGCCACTTGCCACTTTGTCACAGAATCACAGCTATTCTCATTGTCACATTAGAGTCGCTGCAGATATTGTGAAGTATCATTTATACTCATCGCTACTCCAAAATTATAGTCATTAGACCCACTGCTTACAATTTTATGCGTTAAGAAGCATTTTTACCTTATAAATGTTTTAATAACTTTATTTCAACATAATTGGCTTTTTCTATAATCCTCAATCTTTTATTTGCACATTTTAAAACATTACTTTAGGAAATACATTTATTTGCACATTTAAAAACAATATTCTAGAATTCCTCAGATTATCAAAGGGACCCATGGCACAAAAATATCAAGTCACTGGTCTACAAGGGCATTTGGGCCCTGGGAAATGACCACCCGACACAGACCACCCGGTCACCTTCTTAGAACCTGAAGCTTCTGGAGGGTCTTTCTAGCACAGATTCTAAAGCAGGTGGCAAGTATGCAACACTAGTGGAGTAGCCTCCCAGCCAGCACCCTGGCAGATGGCTTAACTGATTATGGCACGCTTCCCCCACCAAGCCCAGACACAGACCCAGAATCCTTCATGGGCACGGTGTTCTGGGAAGCTATCGCCAACATTCTGCATTATCGACTGCCCGTGCGCTAAAGCTCCTGCCCCTGAATTTCATTTTCGTGGGGCTTAGTTGTGTCCCTGGGGTCTTCTCTGATCTCTCTTTCATTTGCAAGCCCTTCAGATATTTGGAGACTTTTCCGTCTTCTGAATCTTCTCATCTCCTGGCTAAACAGGCCCAGCCCTTCCTAACCTTTCACTTCCCTGGCTGCTGACATCTAGAAGTGCTCTGGTGGGCCCAGGCCCAGAGCCAAGGGCATGTGATCTGGCCCAGACTTAGCCTGGCAAGACAGTGGCCCCTCCCTCGTGTTGGATGTCCTGGTTAGATGACACTTTAGCTGTGTCCGCCACACCGCACTGCTGACTCAGGGCAATGCAGACGTAGGGCTGCTTCCTGTGGGCCACTGAGCTGCTCCCTCTGCAGCGCTCCACACACACAGGCAGTGGCTGTCTCCAAACTGACTCAGGACTTCTTTGATATCTTTCCTTGCAATGTCTGTCAAGAGAAGTCACACTGTATGAGCCCAGCCCTATTCCACCGAGTCGTCTCTGCACAAGCCTGAGCTCCCAAAGGGCAAGGGAGCCTTCTGCTTCCTGTGCCCCCCACAGAGCCATAAGCATGGGGCACTGGTTGTGCCAAGCAATTAGGGCCTGGGTTTCACAGACATTCTGTCCAGTCCTGGCTTCTCTGTGCCCTGAGTTTGGAAAAAGGAACAGGGAGCTCTTTCCCATAGCCCAGACACTGGCAGAGAAAAGCACGGGTTAAGTGGTGGCAGAGGTCCTGGTCAACCGTGAGGGTAGCAGACCAGTGAGGGAGAGCCCGCATCTACTCAGAAATCTGAGCACATCCCAGGACTAGTGACCAAAGAGGGCGATGGTAAACTTATCTCAAAGAGGGAGACCCCATCCACTTCCTGAGATGGAGAGAAAGGGGCAGTTAGCGGGGCTTGTGGTTCCTGGGAATGGCAGGGCTCAAAAGGGAGCCACAAGCAGGGAGAAGTTCTGATAGGACTGGTTGGGAAGGCAGAGAGAAATCTGGATTGGGGGACCAGTTACAGTCAGGCTGCAACCAGTCCCAGTACCAATGGAGAAAGGAAGCCCCCACTACAGAATAAAAGCTACCTGCTCTTTGGGGTCTCATTTCTGCCCGCATCTGCTACAGGTTCTGGCTCTTGGGTCTCCAGACAGGGCAGGACATGAGGTATGGGTGGGAGCTACAGACAGACCGTGGCCCAGGAAAGCCTGCTCTACAACCAGGATCACTTTTGCAGAAAGAGACCGCTGGGAGGGTCTGGGTGAGGCAACTGAGTGAAACAGAGAAGTGATGACAACTCACATCTATATCACTTTCTGGTTCCGCAGTCACTGTCACTTGACAGAGTTGAGCTCAGCATCCAGTAACTTCCACATCTCTCAATCTCCTGCTCCTGGCACATTACTATACAGAAGCTCAAACATTTTTTTGTTGAATAAATGTGACTTTCAGACTCCACCAAACAAATGGGAAGGTACTACGGTCCAGATGCATTGTCTCCATGAGTCCTAATTTACCACCTGGTTTGAGGTGCCCCCTGCTGGTGGGACAAGCTGGCTGTCTTTCC